TCCTTCCCTCTTCCTTCCCTTCCCTCTTCCTTCCCTCTTCCTTCCCTCTCCCTTCCCTCTCCCTCTCCTTTCCCTCCTGCTCCCATTTCACTCCCCTTCTCTTCCCTTCCTTTTCCTTCCCTTCCCTTCCCTTTTTTTCTATTGAGACAGAGTCTCACTCTGTCACTCTGGGTAGAGTGCTGTGGCATCATAACTCACAGCAACCTCAAGCTCTTGGGCTCAAGTGATCCTCTTGCCTTAGCATCCTGAGTAGCTGGGACTATAGGTGTCCACCACAATGCACAGCTAGTTTTTCTCTTTTTAGTAGAGGTGAGGTCTCATTTTTGTGAGCCCAGGCCATCAAATTCCTGAGCACAAGCCATCCACCTGTCTCAGCCTCCCAGAGTGCTAGGATTATGGGTGTGAGCCACCGTGCCCAGCCCAAATATATATTTTTAGTGAACACAGTGTTACTTTAAATCATTTTTTTTAACTATAATTCATAAAAAACGAGCTTTCGTTTTGTTTTGAGGATGATGTGTATCAAACCCTAAGAATTTAATGTGATCCCATGGCTAGGAGTTTATTACTTCTCCCACAATTATGTGTGGGTTTTCTGTTTGTTTGCTTGTTTTTGCTTTATCAGCATGGTATTGTCTGTTTCTGCTCATATTACATTTCTGTGATTCTCTGCTTCTCATTTCACAGTTGCATTTTAAATGAGTATGACTTGATGTGATTCCCTGATGACGGAACCACTGGGGTTCGTAGATGGGATGCATATTAGATTTCCTTCCTATCCTTTGTGAAAATCTGTCCGCCTCCACGTTCTCAAGCTCAGAGTCTTATAAGACAAAAACCCCCAGTTATTCTGAGTGACTTGTTCTAAGGCTGCAATTTGAGATATTATAGAATAGCATTTGAATACTTTTGGAGAGGAGGAAGTTTTTTCAGGTTGTCACATTGTTATTATTAAGTACAGAATAATATAGTTAGGTATTCAGAACTTGACTAATTTGATTCTGGATATTCATTCTTACAATTTTTACTTTAATGCTTAGAACGTTTTCTGTATATAAATTAATTTGTTAAAAAAACAAAAATTACTTGCTCAGTTACTACATGCAGCATCATGTGCTGGAGGATATTACGATGAATAGTTCACTGTCCCATTCCTCTAAGGGCCTCATGATGTGCTGGGAAAGCAGGCGGGGGAGGGGGGGATAAGCTTATTTATAAAAGTGTAAAGTGCAATTATGGAGATGTATCATAAGGTCACAGTGAAACAATGTAGGCTGTGTATCAGGAACAATTTCTCAGAGATTCATCTCTGCTGAGTCTTCAAGGAGGAGGAATATTTGTACCAAACGAGAACAGTCAGGAAAGGTACCCAGGCTAGAAGACAGCAAGAACGAAGGCGTAGAATCCCAAACAGTGCCCCTATGCTAGGAACAAGTCCTTTGGAGAAAAAGCTAGAGGCCCCTGATGGTGGAGAGCTATTTTTATTTTGTTAAGGACTTTGGTTTTCATCCTGAAGGATATGTGCAAGCTTCAGGGTTGTTGACATGTCATGGCCACATTTGTGTTGGGACAGACCACTCTGCTGAGAGGAAGATAGACTGGTGGGAGGCTGGGTAGAGGTTCTGAGAACAGTGAGAGGGAGGGCTTGTGTGAAGAGGATGAGCCTCTGAGCAGGTCACAGGAAAGGAGGAGAAGATGAATGTAAATGAAGGTAGGAGGTAAAATCTTCTTTTCAGTTGGTTTTGGGGTTAGGAAGTAGAAGAGAAAACAGCTTCTACAGTGAATTGGCAAAGGTCTTTATTAATTTGTAGTTCTCCAAAGACGCAATTGCTCTATTTTAAAGATAAATCATTTCAAAATGTCTATTTTATAGCCAGATGCTTTATACTTCAGTTTTGATGAGACTTTTTTTCTGGCATCTGTTTAAAAAAGAAAAACACCCCGCACAACACTAACTGTTTAAAACTTGCAGGATATTTGTCTGTAAATACATGTTTCTAAATTTAATTAAACTGAAACATGTTTTGCCAAGTGAAATATTTTTTGTTTTTTTTCAAGCAGCATTCTAAATCCATCAAACTGTTAGGTGGTGGAATTGTTTGTTTGCTTAAACCTTAGCTTTGAAAGCCCAAAGGCTGACTGGGTGTGTGGGTTTCAAGGAAAACATGTGTTGTACTACTTCTTATTCTTAGTGAGGAAGGAAGTGTTTATTGAGTAACTCCTATTATCCTTTATTTACATTTTCTCATTTGAGCATCTCAGCAGCCCAGTGAGGTGTACAGTTATCCCATGTTACCAGCAAAGAAACTTACAGGTCAGGTCAGTTGCCTGAGGGCATGAATCTAGTATGTGGTAGAACTAGAGTTTGGGACTTGATCTGGCCAGGTGCAGTGGTCATGCCTGTAATTCTAGCAGTCTGGGAGGCCTATGTGGAGGTTCACTTGAGGCCAGGAGTTTGAGACCAGCCTGAGTAAGAGCAAGACCCTATCTCTACAAAAAAGTAGAAAAATTAGCTGAGCCTGGTGGTGCACAGCTGTAGCCCCCAGCTACTGGGGAGGCTGAGGCAGGAGGATCACTTGAGCCCAGGAGTCTGAGGTTGCTGTGAGCAATGATGATGCCACCACACTCTCCCTGAGGCCACAGAATGAGACCCTGTCTCTAAAAAAAGAAAAAAGCAGACAATATCCATCAAACCTCAAAGTCTATGGCCTTTTCTACCAAAGTGACTTGTCCTCTGTATAATCTACCATGGCAATAACTTGCATTTTTCTCAATGTATTTCTCTCAGAATAGTCCATTTAAATGTAAGTCATTACAAGAGCTTACAAGGTCCTGCATCCCACTCTGCCCCACTCCTCACACTTTCTTCTGTTATTTCTCCCCTTTCCTGCTCAGCCCCAAACCCTAGCTTTACAGGGCATGCTTCTCACCAGACACATCTGCTCTTGTCTCAAATGGCTGAATAGCTTACCCACTTCCTTCAGGGCTTTACTCCCTGGCACCTGATTTTAAATTATAAAGAACTTCTTCTCCTTTCCTGCTTCATTTTTCTCCTTAATTCTTATCACCATGCGGGAAGCATAACAATAGAATTTGGAGCTTTGTTGTACTGGCGCTTGTCTTGGTTTACAGGTGGCAGGCCTTTCTTAGGGAAGCTACTCTTAACTATTGCAGAAGAGGGTCTAGCCTCAGTGCAGAACTTGGCAGTGCTAGATGGGTAGGGCCTCTGCCAGGGAAGTGGATTATGGGGCCAACTCAACCAGGCATTCTGGATCTTATACTAAATCTTACCCTCTGGCAGGAATGGTGTTCTTTGTGTTTTCCTAGGCTTGAGGACATAGTTAGGAGTCTTTGGTAAAGATCTCAATCCCTATACCTGAGTAGGACTGGGGCAGGGAGGAACTCATAGTAAGGGTCATTATAAAACCGTCAAATAAAGATAAACCTACAAGACACAATACAAATTTTGGTAAAATGTCCTCCACACAAATATATATAAATATAAATTCCTTGTGCTGTTGGTGAAGGTATGCATACTGCTGATTTAATTGTCTACCTTCCTTACAAGGTTTCCTGTGAAAGGAGACTATATCTTGTTCAAATCTATTTCCATCGGAGCTAGACTAATCACTGACTATTCAAAGTCAGGAGCTAGATTCAAACTCTGACCTAGTTACTTAGTGTCTGACAAATAGCAGTTACTCAGCATATAATAATAGCTTTTAATATTGTTTTATTATTCTGTATGATTACTTATGGAGAAGGCATCAAATGTTTTGAATGAATAAGCTTTTATATTTGGGAAATCACTAGAATTCTTTAGGTTTTAATCATCTCATTTCTTTTTTTTTTAATTTAATTTAATTTAATTTTTTATTTTTTGCAGTTTTTGGCCGGGGCTGGGTTTGAACCCACCACCTCTGGCATGTGGGGCCAGCACCCTACTCCTTGAGCCACAGGCGCTGCCCAATCATCTCGTTTCTAACTTTTTTTTTTTTTTTTAAATTCCCTTTATGGAGGTACTCGTTTCTAACATTAAGGTGTTAACTCAGAGAGCCACAGGGCTATTGGAAAGCTATGAAATATGGAAACTGACATATACATACTTGTGAAATTGGCACCTTCTTTTATTCATCTTGGAATCCTCAGTCCTAGGCATGCTAGTATATTTGACACATAGTAAATATTTGTAAAAAATGTTGGCTGGTTCCCACTAAAGCAAAACTGGCCATGTTCCTAAAGTAAGCGGCAAATCTCAAGCAGCATTTAGAGAGTCTATTTGGAATATCGTTTACGTCTTGGGCAAACTGGGTACCTGTAGAACTTCAACTAGAGTGTATAAGCTATACTTTAAGGCGTCAGAGTTCTGAGATACATTTGTAATTCTTTGAAATGTGATTTTAGGTAAAACATGGCTATTCCAAGAGAGTCTGGTGTACACTTATAGGAAAAACATTATATTATTTTCGTAGTCAAGAAGAAAAGGTATGTATGTATTTTTAATATGCTAATTTTTTGCTTGTTATGGCTTAAAATTAAAGCTTTGTTTTTCACTCTTTTGTTGCTAGGTAAAACTTTAGAATTTCTGATAAGGTAGAAATTTGGTGTAAAATTTATTCTTGAGATAATCACATACCTATCACCTACAAGAGTCTTGATTCTTAATTATAAGTCTCAGCAACTTTAAAGTTCTAAGACCTAGAAAAGAAAAGCCTTCGACCTCTCTCCTACCCAGCCATCAATTTCTTATGGTCCCAGACAGACCAGATAAGGTTCAGAGAGGGGGAGAGCAAACTAGGAAAGAAGACCAGTAACTCCTATTATCCTTTATTTACATTTTCTC